CTCTAAACCTGACAAAAGAATTTGGACACCTAGATCGGATGGATCTTTCTCTTGTGCTTCTTTTTTCAAATCCCTTTGCTGTTCTAACCCCTAGCAGGCCTTCCTTGTTAAGGAAGTTTGGTGTAGACCTGTTCCCCCTAAGATCTTGGCATTCTGTTGGGAAGTGTTCTATGTGAAAGTAAATACCTTGGATAATCTACAAAAGAGAAGACCTTTTCTCTGTATTTCCCTCAACTGGTGTATCCTATGCAGATCTCAAAGTGAGGACTGTTATCATTTGTTAATTTCTTGTTCCTTTACTGCAGAATTATGGAACTGGCTTCTCTCTTTGTTTGGGAGCAGTTGGAACTTGCCAGCAGATTTAAGAACGCTTTTTGATACCTCGATGTTTCGCAACAGAAAAGGGGTAAAATCATGTGGATGTGTGCAAGAGCTGCATTGATATGGACAATTTGGGAAGAAAGGAATGCTAGAACTTTCTTGGAAAAGGAAAGGAACCCTCAAGATTTAAAGGACTGCATCGGGTAGGGTGATTCGTTGGCTGAAATCTTTTGACTTGTTTTACCAATTCTCCTTTAATGACATTTGGAGGAATTGGGCAGCAGTGGCAAGCTGTTCCTCTTCCAAGAATAAAGTGAGAACAAGCTGGTCATTACCTCCTGCAGGCTTCTCGAAGTTGAATTTTGATGGAAGCAGTCTAGGAAACCCAGGTCCTTCTGGAGTAGGTGGGGTGTTGAGAAATGAAGTCGGGAATGTGATATTTATTTTCTCAGGTCCGCTAGGAGTGGGAGACTCTACTAGAGCAGAAATATCTGCTGCCTCGCAAGGTGTACAGTTTGCAGCTCAATTAGGGGTGAACCGGCTAATAGTTGAAGGTGACTCAAAGGTTGTAATAAGCTGGTTGCAAGACCCAGAGTTAGTAAGTTGGTGCTTCAGGAATGAAATTAAAAAGTTTAAGGCGCTGTCAAGAAACATGGACCTAAGAATACAATGGGTGGGGAGATCAGCAAATGCTATGGCGGACTGTCTAGCCAAGTAAGGGTCAGCGAGGGAAGTTTTGTATTGGGCACAATTGTAACTTATTTCTTTTGTTTTCTTCTTTAGTGGAGAGATCGCAACTTGTGCCTCTCCAAGGGCTGCTTGTATGTGCTAACTTTTCCAAATCAATAAAAAGTTCATTTATTTATAAAAAAAAAGATATTGATCATTGAAATGTAATGGAGGAGAATGATCCATCTGCAAGCCTCACTTTATCCCCTCCTGACAAAAGGCTATAAGTCTGAAACAAGTTTGGCTTACTGGTCATGTGGTTAGAGGTCCCYGAGTCAATGATCCAAGGGAGTCAGTGGTAGTGGTGACATGGAATGCAAATGCCTCATTACCTGATGTAGACGCGAATGAAGTAGGAGTACCAGTAACTGAACTATCCATCTATCGCAAAGCCCTACCATATGACTCCAAGTGATCTCTGAAGGAATTCATGATATCTTACTTGGGGTCAGAACCAGTAAAGTGATCTCGTGTAGTACCAACAAACCGAGTATCTTGGGTTGCCACATGTGCTGCATTATGTGCTGTATTCGGCTTCTTTTGACCTTGTACTTTACCTTGCTCTTGGTTCTTCACTACCCACTTGGGCTTCCCATGAATCTCCCAACACGTGTCACGTGTATGTCTTGAGCGCCAACAATGGGTACAAAACAACTTGTCTTTATCATCAACCTTCTTGGAGTCACTTTTCTTTCCCATATTGTTACTACCCATTGCAGTCATTGCTACCTGTTGCTCCCCCTCAGTTGTAACCATCACACTCCACCTACTTTCCTCAGATTGAACAAGGGCATACACCTCTTGAACCGAAGACAACTCTTTACTTCCTAAGATCTGAACTCTTAAGGGTTCATAAGCAGGGTTTAGTCCCAACGAGAATGCAAAAACCCGCTGCTGAGAAACTAGCTTCTTATAGGCCTTAGCATCATCATCATGTTTCCATTCTATAGCCTGATAGTGATCCAATTCTTTCCATATTGTAGTGAGGGCTGAATAATAGGCAGACAAACTACTATTCCCCTGTTTACAGGTTGAGGATTTAGCTTGCAACTGGTAAATCTTGGCATAATGCCTTTGCTCAGAATAGGTGGTTTTGGCCTATTCCCAAATCTCACTAGTGGTGTCTGCCCACATAAAGTTCTTCACATCAGGTTCCATGACTGCAAGGAGCCAAAACATCACCATACTGTTTTCTTGGTCCCACCTATCATGTTCAACTGTCTCACTCTTGGGTTCTTTCACTCTTCCATTTAACCAGCTTTTCCTAGGGGTGATCATTGGCTGGGCTAGGCCGGGCCGGGCTTTGCTCTTATGATAAGGATTATAGCTTAGGCCCGGGGTTCCGAGCCTGAAACATAAGCCCTAGCCCAAGTCTATATGGGCCCGGGCCGGGCCGGGCCTGATTTCGGGCCAATGTCACTCATATATAACATTACATATCTATATATTAAATGACGTAACATGCATATGAACTTATTTTATACATTATATAGTATAAAATATTATATATAATATAAATTATACATGTCATGTTATAATATTTAAATATAAAATATATAATATAATGTAAAATAACATGTATACATATGTATACATTATACACAAAATGTGTAAGTTTAAATATATGCTGCCGGGCCGGGCTTGAAGTATTAAGCCCAAGCCCGGCCCTAAAATTTGCAGGCCTGATGTGGGCCCAGGCCCAGGCCGGGCTGAAATGATCACCCCTAGCCTTTTCCCCTTGCTGTTACATAAAGTTTTACACTTTTAGCTCACTCTAGGTAGTTTAGGCCATTTAAAGGGGTAATTGGCATGGGAAACATCATGTTTTCACCTCCCATACCAGCTGTGCTACGGGTTGGTGTAACCCCAGATGAAGCTGAATCATAGTTTGCCATTAAGGAAGAGAGTCTACACTACAAGAACCAGAATCACAAGTGTAACAGACCAGATCCCACACAACTACACCACAGCCACAATCAGAGTGCTAAACCCCCAAGAATTTTACTTCTGGAAAGAGAAAAACTGCTGAAATCAGCCCAGTGCTAGTTTGGCTATTAGAACAGCCTAGTAATCAGTCCAGCAACCAGTCGTTAAAACAGTCTACTAGCAGTTTGACTACAGCACATGCTTACTAACAGTCCAGCATCTGTACAAAGGTGTAAACCCAAAAAACAAGGTCTTCACACCATTGACCACAGAAAAAAAAGGAACACATACCCTGTCCAGCACCTGTACGAAGGTGCAAACCCAGAAATCAATTTTCACAGCATCGAACAAAGAGAAGAGAGTCTTTACAGCATCGCCCCTCTTCTACTAGAGTTTCCTTGGTGTTATGACCAAGGAAGAACCCAAAGAAAGCAGCCGCAAGTGGCCTGACCAGTCCGATTAGGTTTCTCTGTCTTCCATGTCCAAGAGATCAAGAGAGAAAAAAAAAAAAAAGAAACTGAGAATAGGGCTTGGTTCAGATGAGAGAAACGGTTCTTTATAGCCCAGAATTATGCTTTGATACCATGTAATCTTTCATGGAGAGAGAGAGAGACAAGAGAGAAGAGAAGAGAAGGGAGAGAGATACGATTGAGAGTCTCAAAACTGTAGCTGGCAGCACCCAGCTTATTATTTATATTAACTTTATATAAAAGAATGAGAGATTACAAGTATGCCCCTGGCAGCACTCCCTAGTAACAAGCTAATAAGAAAGAAAGAAATAAACTGGCTGACAGCATACTAACAGCAACTGTAAAATAACAAATAAATAATCCTCACAACACTGTACGATATGTACATGTACAAAAGCAAGTTCCTCAAGGCTCACAAGAAGGTGATAAACCAACAAAAAACCAGTAATTCCAAGCATTGTACCCAACTGACAAATCCYGCAAACAAGACGTAGGAATAACTCCCTCATTGTTTCCTTTCCATGATCTTATCTAGTATCTAGGAGAGCTTTGATACTCTTTTAAAACAAGACCTTATTTGTTTTATTTTATTTTATTTTTGGTTGATGATCTCATCTGGCTTTATCCAGATACTCTTTTTGAGTAGGTTGATAGGGGGATCAGTAAAAGGTAAGAATCTAGAAGCAAGCCAATGTGTAACAGCTGGTGAACTTGAATTGGCATTTGGCAATGCCAATTTTCAAGGAAACTCACTTCACAAGTCTTTTAGCTATTAAATTGACCAATCTAAGGTTCAGTGGAATTAGGGCTTCATCCTGGATGTTGAAGATCTTGCCCCTTTAATCTCATAATATAATTGCCATTTACTGCAATGGCAGGACTGCTGATCCATTTGGAAGGAGAGGATCTCTGACATCCTCTATAGGCTAAGGTCCGATTCCCTGCATCTTATTGGAAACATTGAAATAGTTCTGGTTAGGTGAATCCTGATTCTCAAGGAGTTAGTTTTTTTAACTACCATTTCAGGGGCCAATGGGTCGATACTAGTTTCAGTTCTGTTTTTGGTGTATAAAGACCTATGCACGGTTAGTAGGTGTTTCAGGGTATACATATGCATGGTTTCTTCTCTTTATTCATGTAGAGCTCTCATAGTCTAGGTGATAGCCCTTGTTTTTTATATTATTAATGCAATACTAATCCATGCCATTTAGCAGAAAAAAAAGTGACTCAGTTCAAGTCAATAAGTTAATAGACTTCTCCCCTTTTGATCAGTTGATAGACGTTTCTCATCCTTTGACATAATAAGGTTTTATGCTGTATACYATATCCCATATCCCATAATAAGGTTGTCATCAGGTACTGCCATAGTATTCTTTTCCATTGTCTTCTAGATATTTTCTTGCATTATCATGCATATGTCTTATCTCTTATGCTATGCAGAAAGTGATATTGCAATGCTTTCCATGTGTTTAGAGACCCCTGTTCTTTTAATGATATCACAATCTTTTTCCATTAAACAATTAGATATTCTCACATATTATTTGGATATAACAGATAGTAGATCCTGCTGAGATCGAAAAAATGGTGGATAAAGTTCTGATAGAAAATCCAAAGCAGCTTCAACAATATCGTGGAGGAAAAACTAAGTTGCAAGGATTCTTTGCTGGCCAAGTATGAATTCTTGGGAGTATAATTTCCTATTTTGATACTTAAACTCTTGGTTATATTTGTTTTAAAATAATTCTAAACATTTTGGTTAAATACTTTCAGGTAATGAAATTATCTAAAGGCAAGGCCAATCCAGGACTTTTGAACAAGATCCTTTTGGAAAAATTAAATGCCAAAGGCTGATGCTTTTAGAGGTGGTCAAATGCTTATGCTTTCTTCTGTACCAAGCATGATTATGTTTTTATATATTTTTCATTATATTAATTCTTTGTGTTTGACAACTCTATGCTTATCTTGCATACTATATGCGCTAAAGGCCAGAATTTTGAGAAAGACATGATATTGGAAAGAAGCTTCCTTTCATTCTAGTTATATACAACAAGCTAAGATTATGGCGTTGGATATGTGCTGATCTGAGCTAAGATGATGGTGTTGGATTTCTGCTGACAGGTAGAGGCATATCTCAAATTGGATATGTGCTGATCTCTCAGCTCTTGCTACTGAATGTTTTTAATGAATAATAACAAATCTGAGTAATGTCCATACTGAACAGGGTTGATGAAAAAGAAATTAGAGATGGGAAAGGTGGTAAACTTGGTGGTTATTACACTTTACTTTTGGCTACCATCTGTTCTGGGCCCTTTGATAAAGATGCGTTTTAAATCTCCAATTTTCAAATCTTATGTCAATACAGAGTAGCAGGTAGTATTGAAGTTTTACCCGTTGTGTTATTGTAATTCATTCAATAGAATTATTTTTTCTTATAACTTTTCTGGATATATATTTTTTTCTATTTCCTCTTCTTAATAGTTCAAAATAGACGGATCACATCTTTGTTTCTGTTAGTTAATATGCTCACAGAGCTGATGCCAATGATATTATTCCGTTGTGCTATTTGTTACAGTAATAATTGCAAACTGCCCTTTTCTTTACCTATAAACATTATCTCTATTCCTGAAAAGGTGAAGAACTTGCATTTAAAGTCCTTGGCGTTGATGTAAAAGGTGTCATGGTATGGAACTTAGAATTACTCTGTCAGCAGTTTTAGAATTCAGAGAAGACTTCCAGTGGTGAACCTGGTCTACCCCAATCACTTTTTCATTCTTCCCAAATAAGCACTTTGAAATGCCTTATTCCTACATCTTTCATTTTCTTCACATCCATTTTCAATATTTGGCAAAACAAGGTTTAGATCTCAGTCAATGGTCATAAACTCATAATTGGTGTTGATTTTCCTACTGGAATATCAGCTGAGTACAATGGGTTAATCGATGATGTAGCTGTTCCTGCGTGGTCAATATCCCAATAAGATGATCTCCTATTTCCTGCCTGAGTTCCTTGACTAAATGTTACCGATAAACTAAAGAAGATGCATCTCAGGAATGATCATATGGGGAAAGCAGATACAGGTACTGTCTCCCAAATACAAGTAAAATGGAAACTTGGCGTGCCAGTATCATAATATATAACTTGCTTGGAAGTTGGAACGAACTCAAACCAAGCATGTGTAGTGCAAACATGTAGAAGTAATCATGCCCCATGTTAATGCTTAGAAGAAGGAAGTTCAGCAAGAAAGGTAGATTTATTTCCTGAAGAATGATGCTGGCAACGACTGTCATCATGGTTGACATACTTGGTTCTACTGCAGTGATGTTAACTGATACAGGTTTTACCAGTCCACTTGTCTATTTCAATGGTTTATTTCTCCGCATATCTATTGCAACACTTTCCCCACACACAACATATCAATTGCAGGAAAGCAGACCATTTAATTTTGCAGCTAAATATAACGATGGATTTTAGTTCTCACACTCAAGTCAGAAGAGGCAATTGGAGGCAGAAAAGTATAATTTTTTTAGCCTATCGCAAAATTTGAGCTCAAGCTGAAAGGTAACCAACGTCACCACTATAGCACACTTCATTTGTTTGTTTATGTGGGTTTTAATTTTTAAATTTCCGACTTTCTCTTCTTAGTGTCTATCAGTCAGAAAAAAAAAGGAAAAATATATTAGTAAGTTTCAAAGTATCGATATGATATTGGTTTTTAGGGTCACCGAAAATAGTGGCAGTTGGGAGGTTTGAACTTTGAACAGTTTTGAACGTTGATATTTAATGTTGCACAGATAGCATGCGAATAGGTCAACCAAAATGTTAAAGAAAACTGTTTCGATTAACTTAAACTCTAGCTATGCAAATTTTGTTAAAACTGGTTTTCTGATACTCTTTATTTTCCATGCTTTCAACATTGAAAGAAATGGAAATCCAGTAACTTCGGATTTTGTACAATTCTAAAACGATTAGTTTGCAATAAAGATTCAAATTCCGCATTTCTGCCAGAGAGAGAGAATAATTGCTTGTGTACTTAAAATTCTTAGCAAATGAGAAATGTTCTGACATTGTTTAGGGACAATCTATAATACTGAAAAGACATGGTACACAACGAGCTTTATCCAATCAAAGCACCTCGTGAATTTTGATGAATAGCACCTTATTGGTCAGGTCACCTCTCTTATCAGTTGATTGGCAGTAAGTTTTTCCGGTATCATATCTTCCGGTATTCTGCCAATCCAATACCGGAGGATATGATACCAGAATTTTTTTTCTTCTGTGCCTTCTAGAAATTACCATTTGCAGGTGTATAGCATATGGACCAGAATCTGCCAACCCAATTTTGCCTTCAATGCTATTTATGATTAATCAGATAGGCTTTTTTTTTTTTTTTTTTTACCCCCCCCCTCACACACGACGCATACAAAAATACATACTTTCATATATGCATTTGCGCATGTATGTCAAATTTTATAATGGAYTGATTTATCCATCCAAACACAGTCTGGGCCCAAGTCCAATTCGAATGTATCAAATTCCAGTGCAGGCTGGCTGGCTGAGCCCAGGTTGAACAGATCGTGTTTGACTTGCATGCATACATACATTATGCATGTATGTCAAATTTTAGATGGATTGATTTACCAACCCAAACCTGGTCCAGTCCCAATCCAACCTGAGCGTATCAAATCAGTGCAGGCTGGCTGGCAGGGCCCAGGTTGAATGGATCATATTTGATTTTAGGCTCAGTCCAGATCCGGCCTAAGCCCAATTAGGATTGGGCTTAGGTTGACTTTAAACCTGATCCATCATGCCCAACTTGCATCCATAGGAGGAATGATAATCCTAATCCGATGGATATAATTACAAATCTATTCTCACCATTGTTTTGTTCATGTAGTATTGTATAACTATCAAAATATTCCTTATAAGATGACATATACCGTTGCATTTTTTCATGTATTTATATCTTATTCATAGATAAGATATATTTATGTATGTGATTCGATATATTTTTGTAGTGTATCCAAACATTTCCATATCTGTCCTCCAAACGTTTTCAAAGCATATCCATATCCGTATCCATGTCTATATATGTATCYATATTCGAGCTGTCCTACATGATACTTGATATTGATATTTTGATCCTTGAGATGAATACCATAATTTCACATTTGCTGATAAAAAAACCATAATTTCAAACTTTCAGATAAGAGTAATATCATGGCAGATTAATTAGTTAGATGTGGATTTGTAAGACCACAGCTTTTATGGGGACACCAGTCCCTGGGCTAGATTATAACAGTTAACTTTCTATCGTATTTACTCTATTCCATTAATTCTCTCAATCTAGTGTGCTGGTTATTTCCCTTTTTTTCATTAGTAAAAATAAAGGAAAGCAGGATTGAAAAACCTTGGCTAGGAAGAAAAACCTAGAAAATGACCCTTCATTAGTAGTTTGCAAAACTTTGTAGTACCCAGTATTAGATTAAACATTTCATAATCTGATATATAACATGCCTTATGAATCATTCACAGGATCTTCAGTTTCCTCTGGTTTGACATAGAACTCAATATAAGCAATCCTACTAGGTTGTTGATAGCCAGCAGAATCATTATGTGAGTGTTGAGTGGATCTTACAACTGAGACCAGGTGCTGCACTTTCAGCATTCCACCTCTACCAATAGTCAATTTGCTTCCTCTGCTATCCTTTATGACACTGCTAGGAATGTTCGAGGTTGTTGCACGAAGGAACTTGTACTTATACCTGCACATGTCAATTGAAGAACCAAAAGCCACTAGGCTAAAAAATGTAATAAATAATCATCAGTAATAATGCACCAGATTCCAAAAATACCTGTAGCATACACGGCGATCACAATGGAATGCAATCAAAAGATCAGTATTTGCATAGTACATGAAATCTATCTGTAAAGGGACAATAATTCCAACCAATGATGATGATATGATATTAGTAGCAAGATTCTCACACATATGGTATCAACAGTACCTGTAAGTCTCCATGGCCTTCACCTTTAAAGGTAACAGAGGGGGGATCTGGTTGTACAACTATCTGGATGCTTGAGCCTGGCCACTCAAGATCATCAATAGCCTCCTTAAGAGCTGCAGACTGGAAGGCAACTACTATAWGTTGAAAGTTACCTATCAAATGAAAATTATGTATTGATCCTTAAGGGGAAGACAGATAAAAGGAGCACCTTAACGGTAAAACTAAGTGGGGTCCTTCCTGCAGGTTCAAAGTTGTAGTCCCAAGAAATTGTATCCGGGATCCTGGTTCTTATCTCCGCATAAATGCAAGCATCTGGTGAATCAATTGACCTAGCTTTACACGAAAAATTAGCTTTCAAGAACTGCCAAGCAAGAAAGATGACAACAGAATGCAAGAGATAGAAATTCACACTCATAAATTTATAAGTCAATGAAGCAGAACTTAAGTGTTTTCTTGCTGTAACAACTAACAAATCAATTATATTCTAAATAGCCTATTGTTTTAAATATTATATTTCATTTTTATTTGTTGAAATATTTATGCATTCAAGCACAACTCAAAGCTTTCTTTAAAAATCATTCCATGTTCAAAGAATCCATTGCAATCAAAATTCCCAATTGAAGATAAAAAATATCAGCTTCAAGATTAAGAGCATGGTTTTAAAAGGATGTCAGGTGAGGAGAGGAGGCATACACCTCAAGGCAAGGCAATCTCCATTTGATTTGCCTCAACAGTCTCATGGATTGAAGGCTAGCATGAACAAGGTGTAGTCCTTATGTCTTGAAGCCAAACTTGTGACAGAAACGCGCCTCAATTGATGAACACTAGATTAGAATTTTCAAGGGACTGAGGATAAGGATGAGACATAAATGAGGATGACGTGATCAAATCACAAGCAAAAATCAGTTAAGTTAATCAAATAGGGATGGAAAGGAGGGGGATTTACTTGAGAAGGAGCTGCATGTCTGGTCCTGGATACCGAATCTCGATCGTGCTTAAATGTCCAGGAACAGAAAATGTGTTTAGGCAATCAACAAAAAGGCTCAGGCTTACTCCAAATCTAGGGCGACCCTCAGCACTGTATTCATAACTAAGAAAAAGCTGCAAGCAGAAATCTAAATAAGAAAAAAGAAAACTGGGCTGTACATTGGAAGAGATAGTAGACTGTTCAACAAACCCAAATTCAATTAAAAACCAGTACTTCACGCTTCAGATAGACTTTGGCCTGAAGGCAACCGGTTTCTTCGACAATCAAAACCACGCCGTGCTCCGACAATTCCACRACCGCGTCCTGATTGAGAAAACCGAGAAGAATGATCAGATGAGTCAACGTTATCGAAACCCTATAAATTTCAGAAATGGGTGTCATAGAAAGAAATCCCTCAAGTTTTTCTTTTTTTTTTATTATATTAAAAAAAGAAAAAATCGTAAAACCCTAGGCAAGTGTAGGCAGTAGAGATGAGGAAGACCAGAAAACAAACCTGCTGTCTCTTCCATCTAACGCAGCTGAGGGCGTCCACCATTCCTTGGACGTTGTCCAGCTGACACACCAGGTCAGGCGTGTCTGTTTCTACCGCCGACGAACTCATCCTCTTTCCCGCCAAAACTTGCAAGTTGCAAACTACCCTTTCCGACGGTCCAACCAAAACTACTTCAATCAAACGCAACAGAGAGACTGCTMAGTCTGCTCCCTCGATCTATCAAATTCTCGTATAACTAAAACCGTTCTCTCCATCTAGCAAAAGTGTTGTAGAGTTTATTCGAATGTTTTAAAAACCGACCCGGAACCTGAACTGCTGGGTGATTTTCGGGGCACTAGTTCAATCGTTCGGTTCAAATAGATAGCCCGTTTCAAATTAAAAAAAAAAAAATTAAAATAAAAATGGCCAAAAACAATTGTTCAGGTCGAATGGGTTGATGGTTCGACTACCTGGGTTAAGGGTGAAACGGAACTAGTTGCTTGGATGGTTTTCAAGTTGAATGGTCTRATCGTCTGAGTCAATGACGATTCAAACACACTTGTTTATTCAACTATTCCATTTCTACATTCACATTTGACAATTGGGATCCAAGAGTTGTATTATCCATATGTGGATTAGGGATGGCAATTTTCATCATCCCCATCGAGTACAAGGCCTCCCCAACCCCATCGGATTGGGGATAGATATTGCCTTCACGGGGCGAGGATGGGGATGGGGAGTGGAGTCCCCACCCCCAACCCATAATATATATAATATTATTCATATTAAATAGATATTATATATCAAAATATATTTAAAATATTATTTATGTTTTAAAAATTTTCTTCATTTTAGATAAATTTATTTTTCAAAAAATATATTAATTAAAAATTTCTAGGGATTTAGGTTCCTATAAGGAATCTGTCTCCGTCGAGGAACAGGGATAGAGATGGCTTTTATCCTCGATGGGGATCAAAGTCGGGGATGGAGAATATGATCACCACCCTTGACCCACCCCATTGCCATTCCTAGTGTGGATGCACAATGTGGGTCCAATCATAAGTGAACACGCCAATGTATATACAGTGGGGTATGGGCTTGACTTAAATGACCAATCATGAACATGCCAAGTGTTTTGTACACATGTCGTGATTGGTCACTTAGCTAGGTTCTTACATTTGTGTTCATAGTAGATCATATGCCCCCGTGGGCCGTGGCTCCCGTGAATCTATTCTATTTCTCGATGAAAATTGTAAATGATATCAGATGGATACAAAAGCCTTRTGCAAATCAACCCAAGTTTATCTTAGTCCGTTGTTGCTTTGATTTATTGTTACCTAGATGCCCATCCCCAACTTGTAAATCCTCATCCTTCAGCTATCTCTGTTAGGAAAAAGTTAACCTCCATTCCCGATCCTTGATGTAGATGAGTTTCTATCAAGGACCTGAATCCTTATTATTTTTCAATTAAAAGTTTTGGGGGGAAGATTTATTTAAAATAAAGAAAATAATTAAAATCTAAATAATAATATAATATAATATAAATAATATTACATATTTAATATATATATAATCAGGGTTGGGGCGGGGCAACAGCTTTCATCCCCATCTTTGTCACTGTTCTTGCCAAGGCAATCTCCATCCCTGACCCAATTAGGTTAGGGAGGTTGGGTACTAGTGGGGAAGGAAAAATTGTCTACCCTAACAATTATAGCCTTTTTTTGTTAGGGGATATTTAACCAATAATAATGCCCCACGTCAGCCATCAAGTATATTCCCTGTAGGGGTGCAAGTTGGGCTGGATTCGATTAGGTTGATATCAACCCTAACCCAACCCAAGCTATGGAACCCTCAACCCTAATCCTTTYTTGTTGGGTTGGGATTGACCCATCTCTCTACCTCCTTTTGTTGGATGTTCTTATTTCTTAGACTCAATAGTTGAGATCAATTCAATTTTAGCGTTATTAAATGCAAAAGAGCATAGTTATCATTGAAAATTTTTTATTTAATTTTAAAATTGTTGATTGATATACACATACATATACATATACACATACATGCATACCTATAGATAGATAGGTGCACACATACATATATAAATAAATGAAATGAATAAATAATATACATCTTGTAATGTTTGATGATGCTTTATCTATTCCTAGACATCGTTGTGAATAGGTTTTGGGACTTTTCTTTTTCTGAGTGTAGTGTGCATATTATCTAGATTTGAGGCAAAGGAGGCTAAGTCCTCCCTCTAATAAAATTCTAAGGCCCTCCACCTGGAGTAAAGTTTGGGGATTGAAAAAAAAGGGTATCCTAGTCCTAAACTGAGTATTAATGAGTGATGAAGGGTGATTTGGCATGACCTAACAGGAAGGGGACATGTAGGCGCGATATGATTGGAGGATGACAATTCAGCCAGGCAAGCCCAGTTCGCAATATTCACAGTTCGGGTATCCAGCCACCTCGGCTCAAAGCCCGCCTCAGCGTAGAGGCTCCTCGGGTATCCAATCTAGTTCAAGATTGAAGAATCAAAGTTCCAGCTCGGAGCCAACGATCTGAAACGTCGTATAACCAACTCCGAAGGCCTCCCCAACAGATCCCRAATCTCCCGATATCATGATAAGAACTCATCCCGGTTCCACCTGAATCGGGGGTAGACGATAAGCCTCATCCACGTACTGCTCTCCTTCAAGAATGGAACCAACCTTATCTCTACAGCCCAGAGAACCCGGAGCTCTTTTGTGAAGCCCACGGCTACTCCAATATATAAAGAATCGAAATCTCAAGTGATTACTCTACTCACTAGCACTCAAGCTCTCAAGCATTCAACTCGCATTCACAGTGTAATTACTGACTTAAGCATCAGAGCGACCTCGATGGGTTAGCTACCCCGGGTTCTCTAATAGACTGTTTTGCAAATCGATCCAACTCGTCATCCATTTGGAGTCCGGATCACCCTCCAGCTAGGAGTAGTCAGATCGCGCACCATCAATTGGCGCCGTCTGTGGGAAACGACCGAAAGGTCATCCCTATCTCTTTGTAGTTTCAAGCTCAACTTCAACTTCAATGGCATCCTCTAGCCACACCGGGAAAAGTGTCGAGATGAACACCACCGGGGTGCAAGCCTAGCAACCAACCTTCCCCCAAGCTCCTATAGTGTGCATCGGCCAGTTCACCATTCCGCTCACAGCGTCTGGAGTCCCATCATTGACTGCACCCCCGAGCACCACACAAGTGAGCGCCCCACTTTCCCCAGTGGTAGGCACAACTTTTTTTGAGCCCTCTGTGGTTCCTCCCGGAGTTGGGCATTCCCAGTTCCACGACCTCGTTCAGTGCATCCGGACTATTCAGATCCAGATGTAGCAGTTTCAACAGTACCAACAGTATTACTTCTACCAGCAGTATCAACATCAGTTCCCTCCACTACAGCCAAACTAGCAATCAGTCCCACCTCGGCACCCAGGGCCCCATCATGGTCAGAACCCGAATCTCCTTGGGATTAACTAGAGAATCAWCCGATCTCCCCATCGGGGCGAAGAGACCTCACAAGTACCGATTCCTCTCAGGAGTTAGATCTCGCCCCATGGGAGAAGAGACGACCAGCACACTCCRCCGGCCTCACAAGGAAATGTCAGAAGTAGGTCCGGAGATAGTCAACCTAATCTGCCTCGGTACTCACAGCGAGAGAAAGACGGCTCGGGAGCAAATAACTAGTTGGGGGTTTGAGGTGCGAACTCGAGACAAGGCCTCGGGATAGGCAGCCCCAAAATCCCTCAAGAAACYAGAATCTACCTCGTGACAGGACCGCAATACCAAATCAAACTGAAGTCAGCAGCACCAACGCCGAGCCGATGAAAAAGCAACAACGGAGACGTCAGAACAGGCTAGCGAGAAGGGCAAACCAAAGGGAAGGAAGAAGCGAACTCGGTGGCTACAAAGACTGCACCTCCACTACTTTGCAGGTGATCTCCTCTATCTCCCAAGCTCTTGGCGGCTCCAATGCCAAAAGATTTCAAGATGCCCCTGTTAGACAAGTATGACGAGTCTTTCGATCCTAATGACCATGTAGACTCTTTCCAGTCTCAGAYGCACCTAGCTGGGGCTAATGAGTCTTGCATGTGTGTAGCCTTCTCTACTACATTTAAAGGGGTAGTTTGAACTTGGTACCGGAACCTCGTGCCGGGCTTAATCAAAAGATGGTCACAGTTCACCGATTTGTTCACCGCACACTTCATCACCAGCAAAAAGTGTCCAAAGTCACAGGAAAGCCTTTTCAATGTGGTTCAGAGGGAAGGAGAATCGTTCAGAAGCTATATCAAGCGCTTCAAAAACACTTGCTTGCAAATACCAGATCTCAACACGGCAGTAAGACTCATCACAGCCGAAAAAGGAATCACCCACAAAGAGTTTAAATGGCATGTTGTAGCTAATAAACCAAAGAACATCACCGAGTTCCTCAAGTTAGCGGATGAGTTCATTGGTACCGAGGAAGAGATCAATCAGAAGGTTGATAACCCACCACTAGAAAAGAGGAAGAGAGAAAATGAAGGGACGAGTAGTGGCGAACAGAAGAGGAAGAAAAGCAAGTCCCCGAGCAGGGGAAGAAACAACTCCAGAAGTCGGTCCCCTTCGCGATCTCGTAAATCAGGTCGGCGCTCTAGGACCCCATCTGTGGAGAGAACGAATTACACACCCTTGAACACTAAAAGAGGAGAGATTCTAATGGCCATTAAGGACTCCTYCTTCATTAAATGGCCTCCCAGGCTAAGGGGAGACCAGCAGCAAGGAACCCGAACGTTTATTGCCACTTTCGCCGAGATCACGGGCACGACACAAAGAACTGCATGAATCTTCGCGACAAGATCGAGGAACTCATCCAACGCGGATACCTGAAGAACTTCATCTTACATGAAGAAAGGGGACAAACAGATCAGCAAACACACCGACAGGGGGATCAGAGGAGAAATGCCCCAGAAGCCAACAGGCAGAACGAGTAACCGCCACGACAGTTGCCAAAAGAGAGACCAATCTGTGGGGTAATTAACATGATTACTGACGGATCCATCATCGATGGGTGCACATTGGCGGCCGGGAGGACCTCGGTCTGCGAGCTAGAAAATGAAGAGGAAAACCCACCAAAGCAACCTCGGTTTGAAGGACTGATATACTTCACTAAGGACGATGCACACGGGATCTAGTATCCTCATGACGATGCCCTAGTAGTAAAGTTGCGAATCAATGACTTCAAAGTAAAGCGAATATTGGTAGACTCAGGC